ACCGGCGGCGACTTTCGGCTACAAATTGATACGAGTACGTTATGAGCACAGACGTAAGAGGGCAAAAGGGAATTCAATGACTAGGAACTTACGTGCATGATTCCAAGCCTCTGGGAATCTAGTAGAGCACGCCACTAAATGTTCAGTCCTGATGTAGAAGAAGTGCTCGAAAGGGCGAGGTTCGACCTCATCGTCCAGCTTCGCAGTCAGGCCCCTAGTCCGCGAGGGCACACTCGAATCATGGTACCACGAACTCTCTGGGGAGCGTAGAGGCTAAGCACATTTGCAGCGTGACCTCCCTACCAGCCAATTCTGCGTATTTGATGAGCATTGCTAATAATTTATAAAGAGAAGGAGTAAGCTGACCCGGGCATACCCCGTAATAATGACAGAAATCAACCACCAGCATTGGGAGCGGGAGCTTAAACCCCAACTTGAAGGGATAGGCGTAAAAGACGCAGTATCCCCTACGGTCGGTGTGGACCCTCTCCTCGCTTCTAGCGAGAATGACATCAGCATAGCCGGGGATGACCCCCTGTCCCCGAAGTCGGGACATCCCAATCTCCCCCATTAATGGGGCTTTATCCACCTGATCCTCCCCACCATCGGCGGTGAAATCAGTCATCGGACCTCCGGGCAGAGGTACTATCTCGTCAACCGACGGAGCTTCACCGGTCTCCACCAGTTCTGCATCGCCCATTGCCGGAAATGGCCCATCGGTCACCGGTGAGTTAACCGGAAAATCCGTCGGAAGAACGTTTTGGGAAGAAATGCCTGCCATTGCTGATACAATAACGAGAAAGAAACAAAGTTTGGGGGACGAAGACGAAGGTGAAACAGCAGTAAGAAAAGCTTCTTCAGAATCTCTCTCAGACAAACAATGAGAATATAAAAAATGAATGCCTCAGCCTTTATTTATAGGCAACACAAGTGGCCTTCATGCACCCCAATAGCCACCATTAACTGCACGACCAACCGCACACCGGTTCGATTCCATAGGAATGTGCGTCATTATGACAGGCTCCATAAAGCAGCCTTGCAATCACCAATCGGCGTCTTGCCCTCGAAATGGTTATAACGACCTATGAATGCCGAGGAGATGTTCCTTGCGCCCTAGAAATTTTTTGACATCGCCAAACACGTATCAAGCGTGCCCTCACTCCCCTCGGCCGCAAAACATACGACCCGTCCACCATGGTCGACGGGTATGCACCCAAAACAAACGTAAGGATCAGAGCACAATGAAGCTCGACCTCACTCGAAGTGAGTTAAAAGGTCAAGCGCCTTTGCCAAGGAGAAGAGTTTGACCTCGATCGAACGATGACTTGATAGCACAATAACAAAATACTAATACTCTACAAGGCTAAGGGCCATTGCCAAAGAGAATTCGGCCTCGACCGAAGCAATAGTCGACCTCCCTATCCGAGTTTCCCAAACTACAGTCGATGGAATCCACTCATCGAGCTCGGCCAAGGCCCGACCTCAATAAGCGGAGGGACTAACTGTATGGGTCAGAATCCGACCCCACGATAATTAACGAAGTTAATCCCGTCTTAAGCTAATTCATGATTAATTAGTGGCACGATCACTCAGAATTCACGATATTCAGCCCGCATCTGATTAGATCAGCAAGGCCATGGCCCATCCGCCACCATGAAGGCGAAATCCCAACGTGGTCACGGCCACTTATTGCCAGTTCACGAAGCTCACAGCTATAAATACCAAGAGAGGAAACCCTAGAAAGGGGAGGCTCTTCTTCTTCTTCACTATTGACAAGAGAAAAAAGAGATAACGATGCCCATATTATGGGCAAGAGAAACACCATTGTAAGGCTCTGAACCTCTTCATGGAGAGGCAGACCAAACCAATATTATCAATAAAGGCTTCTAATGTTTCTCCCCCGAACCCTGAGTACTTATTTTCGTCTCCTTTATTTGGTCCAATGGATTATTACTTTTTGCTATGATTTTCCCGTGATTTACTTATATTGTTTTATACTCATAAGATATGCGATAACTTTTGAGCAAACAACCATGATATTTCCATGAACTTCAAACTAAGAAGTGCACCCGTAACTTTCAAATTCTGTAAACATTTAGAACCTGAAACACATAGTTTCTCGAGGCATGGACAATTGGATAGAAAAAATTGAACGACTTCCTCCTTAACACCGATGTTAACCAGGCTAAGTGATTTTAGATTACAACAAAATCTGGAAATCTTTAGCTTAGACGACAATTTCTCAATGTCAGGAAAATGATAATATCGCAATCCAACGCCAAATCCACCGCCAGTTGCTAAGTTCAATTCAAATACTTTGACTTCCTTTTCAATGGCAAATTTAATCCAGTGATCAAAAGTGAAAAAACTACCACCAAAGCAAAAACCAACTCGGAATTGATCAAAAGTTGGACCTTGGTGCAATTTTAAAACTTGATTTACCAACTTCACAAACTCATGTTCTACATTCGGGTCTCTAGTTCTTTTATCCTTATCATAAATCTCAAGACAGCCAGAGGTATACTTCCATAGATATCTCCATCTACGAGAGACAAGACAGGTTGTTGCTGCTTTCTTTACTGGTAAATATGAAAGAATTGCCACAAGCAACTCATCGGACAATGCGTCAATCTTACACTCCATCGGATCCTACACATATAAAAAGGCAACAATACTATCAGTAAACTGTTCAATATATGTTATATACATGTAAAACCTAATATTTTCCAACGAGAGGTGGTCCTATGTAACTTCGACCCTGCCCCCCACCCCCACCCAAAAAAAAGGTGGAAACCAGAATTACCTGTCGGAGCCGAACATGAGAGGTAAAATATTGTCCATCTCCCATTCTTCTTTGTTATTGTTTCGATTTGTAGGTTTGATTAGCTCGGTAAATAGGCTTGTATTTAACTTTTAACTCCCCTTAAAAAAGTTTTGCAAAAATAAACTCCGTACTAGAACTTTAGTTTTTTAAAAAAAAGTTGAAACTTTTACCTAATAGTACGAACTAGTATTAGTACCCGTGCGATGCGCGGACAAAAATCATGTCAAATTGTGATGTAGGTTGTTTGAATCATGTGCGAATAAGCTTAAAATATAAATCTCTGAGATAAAAAATTATATAACATTAGATATTAATTATAAAGCAGGATATGAAATTATTGTTCAAATTTCATATGGAAAACCTCTTTATATGTATATATATATATATATTAGCATAACCCTTAATTTTAGTACTTGCATTACGTTTCGCCGTCAATATTAAAGAATACTAAACATGTCATGTGTGATCTGTCTTGTTTGAGCACATTAGATAATATTATTTTAACAAAATTCTTACTATCACTTTGTTTTTATCTCAAAGTCAAATATGTCTTAATTATCACATCATTTTTATGCAAATTCGTTTCTTTGTTCTTTTCTTATAGTTATTGTATTATTTATTATTTGTTATTATTATACTATCTATAATCTTTTTATTAGCTTAATAATTAAATTAATGTCTTGCTTATTATCCTTTAATAGTCTTTAATAAATAAATGTTTTATTCTTAAAATTTGGTATATTTTTTATGCTTGTAACTTCTTATTCAAAATTTTTTAATCATTTAAATTTATAAGTAATATTTTAAAATATAATTTAATTATTTATTTTTAAATTAATCTAAAGTATAAGTATCCTCACACTATCTCTATTTTTTTTTATACTTTCTCTTCCCTACTATAATATTAATTAGTTTTTATATTAATGTTTCGCCTATAACCAAAATAATCATATTTTATTTTAAATTGCAATTTTGAATTAAGCTATTTGATTATTATTTTCCAAATGTATTGAGTTCTCTTATAATTATTTTTGTATTATATGCAGTAAAAAATTCTTTCGCTTTTAGCTTAAGATGCAAAATTAATTTTTAATTTTTATTAGTAAAATTACCTATATCAAAATTTTATTTTGGTATTTTAAAATTTTATTTTAATCATAAAAATATTTCTTAATTATTTTAAACACAATATATCTGAATGTTGTAGCAATATTTTCACTCTCATATTATTTTTTTATATAAATTTTCTTTCTTTTATAGTTTTAAGATACAAATTTAATTTTTAATTTTTATTAGTACAATTACCTACATAGAAATTTATTTTTTATTTTTTATATTTTATTTTTCATAAATAAGACTTCGATTTGTGGTATTATCCATAGTTTGAGCATTCTCATCATAGTTTTAAGATTTCATTTCGAATTTTAAATTTTTAATAATTTAACGTAATTTTGCTATTTTTAATCTGATATATAGTTATTACATTTTATATGGCTTTTCATTAACTTGTAACTTTATTTAATATCATTATCAACTACTATTATTTAATATAATACAGATAAATATATTTTTTTTAATCACAAAATAAATATATATTTTGATTTAAAAATATTGCTTGATAATTTTAAATTATTTAAATTTTAATAATATAAGTAAATATTGTATATTTACTTTATTTTATTTTCTAAACTTATGATTTATAAATATCCTCACATAATCTCTAATTTATTTTTATTATTCAACATTTTTAGTTTTTTATTTTGTATATTAGACTTGAGTTACGTGGACTTACCCATATTATGATTTTCTTATCACAATATAAAAGACTTTCTTATCTCAAATTTAAATTAGTTTTACCCTTTTTCTCTGTGATAAAAAAATCTGAATTTTTATTTTTTCTCTATTTAGTCTTTATTTTTGGTATTATATTATTCAATTCCTAATATTATTACATTGTCATGTGAATTTTTATTAGCTTGTTAATATTTAATGTATATTTCTATCACACTCATTCTAATATAATATAGATAAAAATTAAATAATTTTCTCATCATAAATTCAAATATTTTTTATCATTATATTTTCTAAATTGGACCG